TCATTTTTTTTTTTTTTTTAACATAATTATATAGTACTATTATAAAGTTAGTATAATATTAATTAAATATAAGTTTAATTAATCTCAGATGTTTAAGTATTAATTATTCTTAAATTAAATCATAGTTAAATTATAGTTGATTAAAATAATAATTAATCGATTCAAACTGATGCTTACGCTAAAATTTCTTGGTAATAGAGAAGAAAATTTTGAGTAAATCTTTTAAATAGCAGTGATAAATATTATTTTATTTTTTATTTTATTTTTTTAAAAAAAATAAATATATATTTTTACATTTTTTAAATAATTGAATAGTTTAATGGCAATATTTTAATTTTTTTTTTTTGATCAAATTTCATTATATATCACATCTCCATTTCAAAATCGTCAATCTTCGCATTCTTATCATTAACGATCGACGTTGATTTCACAATCGTTCCATCTAATCCTCCTTTCCATAGCGTAGTTGTGTTCCATTTGGGAAATACCCGTTTGTATAAATTCATCATCACAGTGTCCTGTTGTGTGATAGGTGAATCAAATACACATTTCATATATCCATGTGTACCCAAACTTTCTTTAATATGTCCGGTACGTCCATATTTGGTTGTTAATTGTACAGGCTTAAACCATAATACATCCTCTACATACATGATATGAATAGAGTTGGAATAATTGGTTATTAATAAAATTAACAGTCGATGTAAATTTAAAAGCATTAATTTACCAGGATTGAAAAACATGTATCGAATAACCGCAGATTTTTTATGAATTTTGTACGGATGTCCTGTAAGAATAATACGTTTAGCATTTATTCTCTTTGGATCTGAATTCAAAAAGCTTCCTGTAGCCACAAGTATTGGAGCTATTGTAAAGGAAAAGACTATTATAATTAATTCGCATAATAAAAGATTGTTCATATTGTTGAGGCAATTTATGAATAACGAACCATTAATATCTCCGGTATCTTTAAAAAGCATCATAGGTAAATGACCAAATTGCACCGGTCCATAAATAGAAGCAATACAAGTTCTTCCAGGGTTAAGAAATCTTTCAAATTTATGAACATTATTCGTTCCTTTTCCTCTTTGTGTGTTTTGTGAATAAATTGGATTTACTAAATATCTACGAAATCCACAATGTAAAATAAGTGGGTCCTTTAATTTAAAAAAAAATGCATATAATTAATAATACCCTTATGATACAGTTAATATTTGACATTGCAAAATCTATAATTACTTTTGATTTAATTGGTTCTTTGTAGTCATTGTTTCTGGTGACAACAAAATTCATTACAGAAGTTTTGTGCTCATATTCCAGTAATCCAAATACATTGAATGGTCGAGATGGGTCGTATGACTCTAAAGACAATTTTTTTTTTAGGATAAAAATTTTTAAAAAAAATTCATCAAAAAAAAAAGTTTTACCTGCTACTTCTTTTGGGACATTAGATAAATGTAGCGTTATTCGCGCACCCTATTTGATATAGATAAATAATCTAACAGATTCCAATAACGCGTAATTTATTTGAATTTAGTTATACTACTAACCTTAATTCCACATCCGCCTACAGCAGCCTCATTTATAACTCTATGTTTTGTCCTTTGATAATTCTCAAACTGGAATATACGAGCATAATCAATTGGTAAATTTTCCATTGGATCCCACGGTGAAGTACGAAAACTTTGCAAGCCTCGGTATCTTTGAAATCGAGTACGAGCTGTGATGCCTAAAGGTGTATCTACTTCATCTGGGAACTCAAGATCATCACGACGTTGTTTTTCACGATTGGCCAAATATTCTTTTAACCTATTAGAAAGTCGAAATAAATGTAAGCAAATTATTTTATTCATATTAAGTTTTATATCAATACTAACTGTCTAGCTTCTTCCTCTGGGTCCAACATAGGATCATTCAAACTGGTTGTTTTTGTCTCAATCTCAATTTCCTCATATTCTCCCTCACTCTCATTGCCGACTTCTACATGAGTCAGTAGTTCATCTTTTTCATAAGTCATATCAACATCACCATCTTCATCAGTGTACTCTTCATCTTCATCCTCAGATCCAGAATCTACGATCCATGCTGCTTGATAGGAGGACGTTCCTTTCGGTACACGTTTCATAATTTTTTTTGGTGTAGTGCCAGGAAGCGCATCCGGCATATCATCTGATCGCATTGATTCTGAATGTACTTTAAAACGACATAAATGATTTCAAATATGAGATTTATGTCGAATTTAATTAATTTAAAAATATGTCTTACCTTCCATTCCGGCCATTTCTTCTTCAGTTGGCCATGTTTGCTCATTTTCCATAAAAGTTGGCTCATTCTCTGATATAAGCGAATCCTAGTTAAAATTATATGTAATTCAATTAATAATTCGTAAAATAACTATCGTATCAAATGTCAAGAAATATAACAAACCTGTAATTTAGGATCAGCCATATGCAAAATTTGAAAATTCTCTTCCTAAATTAAATTATTTTTTAGTATGTAATTTCAAATTAAAAATAATGCATTAAAAAATCGAATAGTTACCGAATCTTTATCATCGGCAATTTTCCTAGAAACAGTGATCTAACAAAAAATTAAATAATTGAATAATTTTTACGCGTAAAATTATTGAATTAAATAAAAAACGCGATAAACCGCAATTTTTTTTTTTCCTTTTTTTTTAAAAAAAAATTAAAAAAAAAAAAGATAATTAATAAATGCCTCGAACCTGTTCCAATTGAAAATCACCAAAGTTTTGCAAATGCACTAAACGATTGGCTGAAAATGGTACACCTCTAGAATATCCCGTAACCTTAAGAGTCCCGAAATTCTATTAAAATTAATAATATGTTATTAATTCTTTAATCAAATAAAAATATTTATGATCTAAAAACAATAAAAATATTTACATCATTATTTGGCTCATAAATCAACTCTTCAGTCAACATATATGGACGAATGTCTCTCCATAAAATTTGTTTAGGACGTTGAGTGCAAATTGTCCTTAATACATTAAGTGCATCCTATAAAAAAAAAAGTTCAAGTTAAATTAAATTGATTAAAATAAAATAAATATCTAATATCATAATGAGTCTACCTGGATTTGATCTGCAGAATGAATCTTTTCTTCATCAGGGAAGAAATGTTTCATATAACTAAGTAAAGATTTCTTAACATCGTTACGCTTCTTTTGTGAAATTTTTTCCATGTGCTAACAATTATCATTTTTATAAATAAATACACATCTATGATTTACACATTATAGATTTATTGCAAAAGAGATATATAAATTACTAAACCAACCATAGTAGTAGTTATAACAGTGGGTAATCCTTGAGATTGTATAGCCTTTAAACATGATTCACCAAATGGATCAACTTCTACTTCAGCCGATACAACAAATAATACATAATCCGCGATTTTACAAGCATCCAAAATGTCAATAAAGTTCCTTTCAAGAAGGATGAATTGAATTGTATGTTTAAACCTTTCAGCACTATAATCAAAATTATTAACTTTTCGATCTTCTTATTATAAAACGTGTTTAATTAAATAAAAAATCTATATCATTACTTCATATGAGCAATGCCTTTAAAAATAGACGGTTCTTGTAAATCAATACTACTATAAATAGACTTTATAGCATTATAAGAATCTACATCGGGGCATAATGGTATCACGGCCTACATACATAATTATAAAATGAAGTTCATCAGCTGTATCATTAGAACTAAATAATTATTTAGAGTAGAAACAATAATTCATTTTTCAAATTTGAGAAACATACCACAATTTTAGGTGTTCCATGCCTTCCTTCAAAAAATCTGTTCGTCTTCAGCACCTCTTCTCTCTTCTTTTGTTGCTCCAATTTCGCCGCATTGCGTCTATCAACTCTTGAAATTGAACGCGTATTTGCACTCGAATGCTTTATAGATTTCCTGTTGACTTTACCTAATGATAAAATTTAACATACTACGTCGTATAAATTTGAAAATTTTTTTTCTATAATTATTGAAAACAAAAATTTTTCTTAAAGAATTTGCCTTTTATTTTGTCTTTAATGGCTCCTTTTGTTGCATGTTTAGACTTAAATGGCTTATTGGATTGTTTTAGTGAGCCTGCCTTATGATGAAATGGCTTTTCGGTAAGCATTATATGTATCTGATATCAGGAAAGTTATTTCGAGAGGAAAAAAATTTTTTTGAGTATTACGTAAATCTATATATAGTTTTGCTGAACCATAAAAATTCATAAAATTAAAAATTAATTTTTACTAGCATTAATTTCATAAATCAAAATTGCATAAATCATTTTAAAATTTTATATTCTTTTATTATCAACAATTCTTTCTTTATCTTGATGTATTTGTTTGAGTATTTTAGAATTAAATTCAACGTGTTTATTTATATTCAGTATTCTTTCACCGAACTTTAAACCTGCCCACACCTTAACAGCGGATTTGGCCTTTTAACTTTCAGTATCTGATACACCATCGGATTTGTTATTAATTGACATGAGATTATTTCTTTTAATTATAACGAAATTCTGCAAGGATGCATTTTTTAAAAGTCATATACTTGAATATTAAATTCAAAAAATAAAAATAGCTATAAATTAAATTTTTTATTTGACCGTGAATCGACAAACTTATAAAGTAATTCCGGGATCCTTACCAGGATAAATCTTTGTTTTATTATTTAATAAAGTAGAAAGTATTTAATAGGAAGAAGAATCAAACTATAAATTGTTGAGGAAGGTTTTCTACATTGTCATTATTGATATTGTTGTTTCCAGTATAATCAAATCTCTTTAAATGCTTCCCTCTATGGGACCATAATGAAAATTTGAAAATGTGCATTTAAAGATGTGCATTTAGAGTTTGACTGTATGTTTTCATCAAGTAGCATATAATAGTTTTGAAAAAGTCTAGAAGAATAGTAGTTGTCTTTTGCTTGTAAAGAGAAATAAGCAATAAGCTTAGTAGTATACTATCATATAATATATACAGAAGAATAAAATAAATATTGAATAATTTTTTTTATTTTTAATTTATATGTTACAATAAATTCGTTTGATATATTTAATATTTAGTATGACCTCCTTTAGCAGAAATAATTGCATAAATTCAAGAAGGCATTAAATTATAAGGTTTCAATTTATTTCTTTGAGAATCAACTTCCATTTTTCAGTAACCATTTTTTCTAATTCTTGGATATTAGATGGTTCAGATTTATGTTTTTAAAGTTCAGGCTCAATAATTGACCAAAATTTCTCAATAGGATTAAGGTTAGTTAGAACTCTGAAGTAATTATGATAAGCATTCTACTTTACTTAAATGAAGAAAATCTTATATGATTTTACTATATGTATTGATGTATTGCCTTCTTGAAAAACAAGTTTTTTTTTAACCTTTTGTGATTGTTTTTTAAGGGTTAGCATAGCATAAGTTTCATGATAAGTTTTACCAATAACAAAATTAATTAATAGAATAATGGGTATAAGATCAAATTATAAAAAACAGCTTCAAAACATTCATTTAGAACTGTATTTTACAATTGAGATAATACAAACCTCATTAAATTTTTTATTAGATTTTTGCCAAATTCAATCTAATTTAAAGTTTGAAACTGAGAAAAGGTAGATTCATCTAATTAAACTACTTTTCTTCAGCCAGCTATTATTCAATTTTATGCTATTTCACAAAAGTAAGTCTTTTGATTTTATTTGCAAAAGAAATTAATGATTTTAAATGAAATATATATGATCAAATATCTTTTATTCTTAATAGTTTTTAAATAATTAATTTGAATATTTGTTTACTTTTATTTTTTTTTGAAAAAAACTAATAAACTTCTTATAAACTATAGCATCTAAAATCTTTATTATTAAGAACAGTTTTTGATAATTTTTTATTTTTGTACAGTCCTTATTTAAGATTGACCTGATTATTTATTAATGGTTTGATTATTTTTAAACTGTTGCCTAGGAATATTTAGCAATTTCTGCAGTTTTTTTTTGCATAATACAAAGTTTTTGATATACAAAAATTGCATTTCTTTACTCTGAAATAATCTTTTTGCAAGACGATTTTTTGTGAAAAATTGCGAAAATTCTGAAAATTTTAAAAAATTTAAATCAAAATAAATAAAAATAATTGTAGTTTTAATAAAATCAGGTATTAATATAATGATGTATCAGCCTTACTGCACTATTCTAATATGAATTAAATCTCACTCTCTATAAAGCAATGAATTTATTTTTACTTCACTTGAACTGTTGACATAGTTTGCTGGTTTTGTTACAACGTCTGTTAAGTTTCTACATTATTAAATCTGTCAATAGAGTTACAAAACCATTTTTAATGCATATTGTTGAATACGAAATTGGATCCAAAATGGTACATTCAGGGTAAGAGTATCGTCAGATGTATGAAAATCTTACTTTCTATAATTATGTATAAGTGTTCTAGTACGACAAAATAAAATTTGATATCTTCTGATGCATCTTTCTCCCCTAACTTATTATAAAGTATTTTTAAACCATTCATCTTGATAGGGTGGATCTTTGCTATTGTTATCTGAAAAAGTTTGTTGGGAGTAATGATGGCGTCAATTGTTGAAAAATTTTGTTTTACTGATTTATAGTATTTTCCATCTTCGATCGCACTGATATTACTTTTAAAAAACTTAAGTATTTCATTCTGTCTGTTAATAACGAAGTCTTCCTCTAAACCATTGAGTTTTAAAGAACGTGTTTTGAAAACTACCCCATTACGTAGCACCTGATGAGCAATCTGTTCAAATAATATGCCTAATAACAAATTACTGATTTCTGCTTTTAAGCTTAAATTTGTTTCAGTACGCAATTTATTCCTTATGTTTTCCTCAAGTGTTTTGGTCACTTCTTGCTTAACAAAGTCAGAGGTGAATCTTACGATTGATTTTGTATAGAGTTCTTCACCGTGTTGATCTAGAATTATATCATTAGAAATAGTGGGAATAGTATCTAAATCTATTTCATATTCGTCCTTTACTTCGTCAGCGAATGGGAAATTCATATAAATGTGAACGAGCTTATAGCTCATTTCATCTATATCTGTTGATTCACCAACATATTTAAAAATATTCATGCTACACTTGTTAATTGCCTTTTCAAACATGTCTTGATAACCTTTATCATCAGCCTGTTCTAAAACGAACCTAGGAATTCCTTTCCACTTCAAAAATAATTCTTCAACCTTTTCTTTCTCAATGTTATAAAAAATTTTATCCCTGCATTCATTGATCTCTCTTCGTCCTTAAACTGGCATGAACCATACTATTGAAAGTCCAAACTTGTCAAAATCTCTATAGAGATCCTTTCTAAGTGAACATAAAAGAATTGTTCTTGCATTAGCTTTAACCGGTATCTTAGCATTCACAATGTACTATGCATTTGAATTTTTCTGATATGATTCTATAATTTTTATGCGAAAAGTACGAAAGACGCTATTCTTATCAAAGATAAGCACAGTTTTTGAAGCATAGGAATCATATATAGTTACTATATTTTTTTGCAAAAGTAAATAAAGTAAGTAGTAGTCAAATAGCGTCTTTCTAATACCTGGATTACCACTGATTCGCAATCTTTTTTCATTTTCTTATCAAATGCGATCTTTGCCAAATTGCGGTAGCATTTACGAATGTAAATAATTGAAGTTTCGTCTTCATCTCCTAAAAAATGGATGCCTTCAGGCAGTTAGAGGAATTCTCCGCATTCAACATTTTTATCCTTTAGTGCATTCCAAAATCTGTTTGCATCTTCATCTGTATAAAAATAAAATATTAGCAAGTCACGTTCGAGTTGACCAATCATTACAACGCAAAGGCTTACCTTGATGTTCATCTAAATTATCTAAATTGGGTTAGGAGAACAAAAGAGGCAAAGTTAGTTATAGATCAAAACAATGTTATAACTAATATTATGACGCAAAGGAGGCCAGAAAAGGCAAAGTTAATTGGGCAAGACACAGTGACAGCAAGTTACCAATTATGGTGTAAGGGTAATTACCTCTTAAAGATTTGGCATGTTTTCTCAAGTAGTTGACTTTCACTTCATCTTTTTCGGTTGCTAGAAGAAATATTTCCACTCTAGTTGTGTCTCTATTAGTAAAAAAATCGAATAGGTCAGCCTTTTTGTTATTATTGAAAGGAAGATTATTAATTTCTTTAAAAATAGTTGACATTATTTTTTATTTGAAGTTTATTAAAAAGAAGTAATCGATAAGAATTTTTTTTAAAAAAAAAAAACGATTTTCTGAAAAGATTTATATATGGTTTAAAATTAATTTTTATTAAGTTATAAGCTATATTAACGCGTCTTATAGTAGCGGTCATAAGTATCTGACCACCTGAGATCGTCTAAAATTATTATATAACTACCTTTTAAATTTTCCAGAAATATAATATAACACAATACATGATCACCTGTAAATTTATAAGTGTCGATGATACAAAAAAAA